GCAATTTCAATTCTCTGTGTGTATGTGCTGTACATGTGGAAGAATTGACAATAAAGCAGACTTGACTTGACTAAGGTTAAATAGTGTAACAGTATGTTGGCTTTCTGAAGCCAACATAAATATCTAATATTTTACGTTATATTTCAAATATATATCTTGTGATTTTGGGGCAAAGCAGTAATTTTAAATTTCATAAAATGTCCTATTATTTATCATACAATTCCTCTAGCATTAGGAGCACATTTGCATTCAACAAAAATGTGTTGAAAAGCCAAAGAAGGACTTTAAACAAATAAATAAGCTAAAAAATTTAAATAATATTAGTTTCAATTTAATGAACTGATTTTTTTTTTGACAATGCATCTGTAGTATCTGCCCTTAATATATCACACACAGACACACACACACACAGACACACACACACAGACACACAGAGCAGCATTAACCTCGAGACCAGCGGCTGCTGTCTGGACAAATGGAGACTATTTATTTAGAATGGTTTGTGAGTTGATAAAGCTAATAAATACATAATAAATAAAAAAAATCAAATAAAAAAAGTTCAGAAATATCTAAAGAAAAATTTTTTATAAATATTTATTATGCGGGTGGTTTGTGAGCTTGTGAAAAGCTAATAATTAATTATAGAAGAAATATAAAATGTATAAATATTTATGATGAGGGTGGTTTGTGAGTTGATAAATATAATAATTAGTTATACCAGAAAAAATAAAATTAGTTAAATTAGAAATATCTAAAAAAAAATTAAATACAAATATCTAAGAAAAAAAAGTGGTTTGTGAGTTGATAAATCAAATAATTAGATTAGAAAAATGTAAAATCTAAAATGTATATTTTTTGTATTTAATTATTAAATGTTAATGAAAGATAATAATTACATCAGAAAAATTTAATTATTTAAATAAATGTATAAATAAATATTCATTATGAGGGTGGTTTGTGAGTAGTTGAAAAGCTAATTACATATTTTTTTTAAAAGTAAAATATCTAAATAAATGTATAAATCAATACTAAATAACTTGTTAAATGATTAAAATGAACTTAATTTTATTATTATTTTTTAAACTATTTTAGAAAATATTTGATGTAAAATGTTTGTGAATCCCTATTAAAAATAATAAACAAAATAAAAAAATTATTTTCTTTTTTTTTAATGTAGGGCAGCACTTGATTTTATTTTAAGATGAACGAGATTTTATACAAAAATCTTCAGTATGAAGTGATAAACCAGGGTTTCCCGAACTGGGGTTCATGAGGAACAGCAGGTGGTTTTGTGAGTTGATGAAAAACATATAATTAAATCAGATAAAATAAAATAAATATTAAAATAGATAAATATTAACTAAAAACAAAAACGAAAGAAAAGTTATGTGTTTATCTGCATGTCATTAACCGCCACCAGAGAACTGTGAGCGTGCGAAAACTGAAATATTATCGTCAAATCTCAGGGCAGGACATATTTAGTAAAGCTTGCTGAGTGTGTAGTGATGCACCTCTCCAGATAGTCCCGGACGTTGTCGTGTCCGTAGAATTTGGCGAGTCTGGTGAGAGCGCCGGTGGCACAGCGTCCATCCCGCTTGCGGCACAGACTGCAGTTACACACTCCTCGACAGATGGGACACTCCCACGCCTGCAGGAGCAATCACACACAGCACAGGCTCTCATATCAAAACCACTCGTGCACAGATCAGCGTTCTGTATTTTCATGACCTGTCACTGAGAATATTCACTAGTATTGTACGTTTCATAAAGAAAATGCGTGCATAAAACATGGCAGTGGCTTCTGTTTGTTGCTCGGACGAGTTACGTGCCAAAGTTTAATCCTCCGTTTTGAGAGTTTGTTCAAACCAGTGTTACTTCAGTATTATAATTAATAAACGATTATATTATTTATTAATACTTTAAATCAGCTTTATTAGATTTAGACTTTTATATTTTCAGTTCTCATTTAAATGTTAGTTTTTTTATCTTTTTCGCTTCATTTTTATTTCAGTTTAAGTCATTTTAGTACTTCAACTTATTTCAGGTGGTTGCCACGGCAACCTTTCTAGTTTTCCTTTTAGTTGAAGTGTTTCATCTCATTTATTTTATTTCATTTATTAGTTGAAATTGCTATTTTTATTTTTCATTTATTTATGTATTTTTTTTTAATGTTTAATTCACTTTCTATTTCAGTTTATTAGTTAAACTATTTTTTTGCTTTTTTAGTTTTTTATTTATTAGTTTTAGAGTTTTTTAAATGTATTTCTATGTAGCTTTACTTTTTAATTCAATTTTAAATTTTAGTACTTCAGATTGTTTTCAGTTAGTTGCCATGGCAACCTTATTTTCATTTTAGTTGTTCATCTAATGTTTATATTTTATTTTTCATTTATTAGTCTAAATAGTTAATAGTTTTTTTATTTGTGTTTTTTTTTAAATATCTGTTTAACTTTTTTATTTCGGTTAATTCGTTGAAATAGTTTTTTTTTTTTTTTTTACAAATTTTAGTCATTTTTTATATTTTATATAGCTTTATTTTTAATTCACTTTTAGTAATTTTCGTACTTTAACTTGTTTTATTTCATTCAGTTGCTACGGCAACAATTTCTAATTTTCATTTTAGCGAGTTATTTTTAGATTTTTTAAAAATGTTTTTATTAGTTTCTCTTTTTATATATGTATATATATATATATTTGCAATATTTCCATTTAGCATTAATTTATATTATTTTATTTTATTATTAATTATTTATATTTAATTTATATTCATATTTTTCATTTTCACTTTTTTCATCTAATAATTATATTTTATTTTATTTATTAGATGAAATAGTTATTTTTAATTAATTAGTTTTATTTAATTAGTTATTTTTAAATGTCTATTTAGCTTTATTTCAGTTTATTAATTGAAATAAATTTTTTGTTTAATTATTAGTTTTTGCTTTTTAATATTTCTAATTAGCTTTATTTTTATTTCAGTTTTAGTAACTTCAACTTAATCTTCATTTCAGTTAGTTCCCAAGGCAACATTATAATTTTCGTTTAAGTTATTAGTTAGTATAATGAGTTCTAGGTTTAGTTGAGTTAACAGTAACAGCGGAGTGTGTGGTGACTTACAGGATCCAGCAGCGCGGCGCGGACGTCTTCTCCGTAGCGGTTGCGTAAACAGGGGCCGCAGAACTGACCTTTGACCCCGCCGCAGTAGAGGCCCCTGCACTCAGTCTTGGTGTCGAGGGTCTTCTGCCGGCACTGGTGACACGTGCTGCCCTGAGATCACACGTATGAATATTAATATACATCAGAAACTCAACAGCGCAACACTCATTCAACACTCACGTTCTCTTTATCCAGGATTTTGTCTTTAGCGCGGTCAGCGATGTTCTGCAGCTCTTCTTCGGTGATGTCCTCCGGCATTCGTATGGACTCCCGCGAGCGACGCTTCCTCTGCTTGGGCCGAGCGTCTCCCAGACCCTCCTTCACCTGCAGCAAAACCAAACCCACGTCAGACTGAGAAATAACACACCACACAAACTGTGAAGGAAGTTCCAAAAATACAAATTATAAAACAGAGAGTTCCGGTCCTTGATTCTGATTGGCTGAGCTGCGTTCAAAGCTGTTGTAAATTACTCTACAAAGTAACATACACCTTTGTTTACGTTTGTCTGTTGCTCGGCAACCACTTTGTTGGAACCACAACTGTTTCTGAGGAACTACATTGTTTGGTGGAAGAATACTGTTTTTATTAATATCATTACACTTTATTTGCTCTGTTTTATTTAGTGAAACCTTACTACGTATATGGAATAACCGTTTTATAAAAGCAATAAGCCCCAAGAAGCCGTGGTTTACAGTGAATTTATAACACTGTTATGTTATTGTTACTCCGCTTCGCGTTGTGCCTAACAACGCCCCTTAGCTGTTATAAATTCACTGTAAACCACGGCTTCACGGGGCTTATTGCTTTAGTTTAGTACTTCAACTTATTTGTAATTTTCATTTTAGTTTAAGTTTTTCATCTAATATGTATATTTTTATTTATTTCATTTATTAGTTGAAACAGTTTAGGTAAATCTCTGATTAGCTTTATTTCAGTTTACTAGATGAAATAGTATTTTTTCCAAAATTTTTGTTTTAGAATAGTTTTTGTTTTTTAAATATTTAAATTTTTACTTTTTTTTCAAATCAGGAAATTCTAATGCACCAAAAATACAAATGATAAAATACATAACCATTCTCTATTTATCGCTAACTTTTTATTTTATTTTCATTAAATAATATTTTTTTTATTTTTGTTAAAATAATTAATGGATAAAAATAAATAAATACATAAATAATATTTAACTAGAAAAATATATATTTTTTTATTAAATTAATTAATGGATAAAAATAAATAAATACATAATATTTTATTAGAATTTTTTTTTATTTTTTTTTTTAAGAAAAATAAATGACGATGATGATTTTGGTGCCGTTTATGTTTTTGGCTTCAGTGAGTTTAGATGACTTTGATGAAATGGGTTCAGTGATCTGTGTGTCTTGCCTCCATCAGGCGCTTGATGTCGATCGGTCCGCTCTCTCTCTTCTGAGGAGCCGGTTTTTCCTCCACCTCTATCCCGAAATGCTCCGGGGGTCTCGCCTTTCGGCCCGGGTTCCGTCTCTCGACCTGAACCTCTGAAAACCGCCGTTTCGAGGTGGACTGCTTCTTTTTCTTCTATTTGGGGCATAGAAAGACCATCATTAAAAAGTCAATGTAATTAAACTGGTTGGATATGAAGAGAAAGCAGAGCATTGTCTGGTGTGTTCTGTGTAGGTGTTTGGTGCAGGGGATTGTGGGATCTCACCGTAGGTGTCGTTTTAGAAGGCAGTTCAGGCAAAGAACTCAAGTCTGCAAAAAGTTTTGCAAGCTGCAAGAAAATATTTTTTTTTAAAGTTAATGTAACATCCAAGATATTATAAAAAATAGATTAAAAATAAACTGAATACACATCAATATTATATTAAAAAGAATAAATGTTGCAAAATACATGTCAATACTGATATAAATTAATGTTATATTAAATGTTACAAATATAAATGTTATTTTAAATTATTATTATATTAAAAAATATATAAATACTATTTTAAAACAAAATGAATTAAAGAAAATATAAAATTATTATATTATTATTATTATTGATTGCAAATATATATATGGACAACTCTAATTTGAATGATGTTTTATCTAAAAAATATTATAAATATTATTTTAAAACAAAATTAATAAAAAAGTAAAATTACTATTATTATTAGTTATAAATATATACAATAAATGCCGTTTTAATTTAGAAATATTTTAAGTATAAATATTATTTTAAAACAAAATTAATGAGAGTGAGTGACAGAACGCATTATTATTCCCGGATCGTGTGAAAACCATCTCAATTATTAATAGCGCTGTGTTGCAGCTACTGACAAATCATCGGAGATAAACAGCGTGAAGGAGACCTGCCGTGCTCTTGGATTTTCTCTGATATATTTCTATTTCTAATACGAACTCAGAAATGCAAATTAAAGACAATTCTATCTCAATCAGAGGAGGCGCGGCATCTTAACTTGAAATAAAATAAGTATTAACTGAAATTAATTATAAAAAATGTTTTTTTAAATGCATTTATTTTTCAGTTCACATTTCATTTCAAGTAACATTTTTTTGTGTGTGGTTTTAGTTTGGAAAATCAATTTTAAAAATATATAATATATAAATAATTACATATATATGCAAATATATGAATTTATTTATTTTTTTTTACTTTTTTCCAACTTTTTTAAAGTTTAAAACTATTAAATAAATAAACAAATACTATATAGAAATTAAAAATTATAAAATAAATTATAAAAAAATTTATTGTTTTATTCAAGTAACAATTTTTTGTGGTTTTAGTTTAAGTTTAGTTAAAAAAAACATTAATATTTAAGTGAAAACTAATATATATATATATATATTAAAATGTAATTTAAAATAGTAACAAAAACCATAATATATATGTTGCATAATTTTACAGCTACTTTTGTATCATGATATGTGCCATAATTGTTCACATTAATAATTAATTTCAATACACTGATTCTGTTGGAGATTCTGGTATACAACAGCACAATGTGTGTTTTTATACCTTTAGAAACAAAAAAGCACACATTAAAGGAAATATTCTCCTGCAGATCAGTTCCAAATATTATTAATAATTAATAATATGCATTAATTTCTGACACTGTAGATGATACTAACAGGCTTCCAGGATCCCTTTAATTGGATGCGGTCTCTGCTGTCCTCTGACAGATCTGTTACGTCCAGCTGTTTTGCCTGAAAGTAGAGTTATATACAACTATAAGTTAAAAACTATAACTATGCAGACATCAAAACATATTCATAACTTAAAAACAAAGTTTTTAATATCTAGAAAACATGCATAAACAACAGACAATTAAACCCTAACTTCAGCTTAATCTCAATTTTTACTACATTTGCTGATGATCAGGTTCTGTCTCATTAAATATGCATTTATGCAAGTGTTTTAAAACGATGATCATTGCTACTAATGTAACTGTGTGTGTGTGCATGCAGTGAATCAGCTCTCGTTTCCATCGCTGTTTGTCTATAAGATCACATTTCTAAAGGGAAAAACATTCTTATCTCTCTTACCTTCAAAGACGCTCTGCGGGTTTTGATCATTTTAATAATTAAAGTGGCGTCTCGTGCTTATCAGTGTGTGGGACTCTTTAATGAATGAAAGGTTTAAAAAACAACACGAACGGACGGGAGGCTGTGTGGAACCGGAGGGGTGCTTGTGTGCGCACAAAACATGTCATTATCTCACTTCGAATTCGTTATTATTGGCATAATACATATCATATATTATAAGTATAAACAGTTAATAGAGTATATAAGGAAAAAGTCTCCGTTCTCAACTTTAATGTGAGAGTTGACGCTACCGCGTCCCCCCCGCGATCGCAATGGAACAGTCCAGAATGCGGCGCTTTGAAGTTTCGCGGGAAAAATCATTCACTCGATGCGTGCACAGGCAGTGAATAACGTTACATACAACTATAAAGTGCATATTGCATTTATAAACGCACCTTCAAAGGTCTGTTGAAGATATTAGTCGTAACAACTATAACACCGCTCCATAGAGCCAGAAATCGAGTTTGACAAAATGGTATTTCCTACTGCAGCCACACACTACTTAGTATTATAGTATAGCTCTCTAGGTTCCCAGATAGCAGATGTATGTCTACAAGATGTCTGATAAAAATCACTTCATCTAGAAAGCATCTGATAGACGTCTTTAAGATGTCAATTTTACATGCATTCTAAACCTTCCTATTACTTGTTTCGCTTCTGTTTCAGTTTTTATAACCATTTGTATGTGTGTGTGTGTGTATGTGTACAAACGTACAAACGTACAAACAACATGTACGTTGTTTTTTTGGTGTTTGGCTTAGTGTTATGTTAATTTTTTTAATTTAAATTTATTTAAATTTAATTTAAATTTAGTGTTATGTTAGAATCATTATTATACTCTTATACCTTTTGTTCTTTAATATTTATCCCCAGCTAAGATGAGAAAAGCATCAGGGTGGGCTGTCTGCTGCTCACTGATGTGCTGGTACAGTTCATTTAGTGCCTCGCTCCTGTTGCTGTTGTTGGAGCTGGGAGGGATGTATACAGCAACGAGCAGTATGGCTGTATATTCTCTCGGTAGATAGAACGGTCGACACTTAATAATCATAAACTCCACCAGGGGTGAGCAGTGTTTGCAGACCACAACAGCATCGTGGCATTATAGTATAGCTCTCTAGGTTCCCAGATTGCAGATGTATGTCTACAAGATGTCTGATAAAAATCGCTTCATCTAGAAAGCATCTGATAGACGTCTTTAAGATGTCAGTTTTACATGCATTCTAAATCATAAACATCTTAAAGACATCTTCTAAACGTCTATTTGACATCTGACATCCTATAGATGTATTGCAGATGTTAAACACTAAAAAATACGTCTTGCAGATGTAATGCAGACGTCAAATAGACGTCTCCGTGATGTACTAGTGCTATCAGGGTTATGATGCCCAAACATTCTGTTTAAAGGGATAGTTCACCCAAAAAAAAAAAATACAAATGTCATATTACTCACTGTCATGTTCCTCAAAACCTGTATGAATTTCTTTCTTGTTGAACACAAATGAAGATATTTTGAAGAATGTTGATAAACGAACACTTGATGGTCCCCATCGACTTTCATAGCATGTTGTTTCCCCCATACTATCCTTCTGAGAACCAGAAAAAAAAGTTTTGTGAATTTTGTTGTTTTTTATGTCATTAGTTGGAGCATACGAAACAAATGGAGAAAAAACATTTTTGATATTTTATTCATATTTTGTTCTATGTCCTTCATAGGACGTCAGGACTAAGTTATTTAAAAAAAAAAAAAAAATACGCAAGAAAAGGCATGTATAGGCAAAAACAATGTTTTATAATTTTTTTTCATTCACCAATCAGTTTTTAGGTTTCAGGCTGAACTTTAAACAAAGATGATTCTCAGCTATGAATGATATAACAGAATGATCTGATATACTACTGTACTTTATCGAATAGCCTTTGTGCATTAAATGTCCATAAATTTGTATTCCCTTATACAATGTATCTATACATTGCATCTAATTTGCATATAAATGTGTTCTTGGGGCAAACCATCATGAAAAAAGAAGTGTTATAATTGGAGTAATAACTTCATAAGAATATTTCATATTTGATAGGAATATTGATCTATAATTTATTTCCATATTGACTTGTTGTCTCCCCAAAATGCATGACGTTTTATTGTTTATCTATGCATTTTAATTTAATTATTTAGTTAGTTTAGATTTGAATGTTATTAGTTAATATTTACATTTTTTTACACTGTTTTTCTCTAAACTTTTCTATTAATGTATCATCGTAATCCTAAACACACTGGTTTGCAGCGTAAACAGTTTTACTGCTTACTGCACTTTTGTTATAGAATAGAATAGAATAGAATAGAATAGAATATACTTTATTGTCCCATTTCTGGGAAATTCATCTTGGACAACCATGACATGGCCAGTGCACAACATTAAACTCACATAGCACAGTACATAACATACACTAAATTACACATAACCAAAAAATAATAATAATAAAATTAAAAAGCTACAGTATACCAATCTCATTTTTGCAATTCTCTATTGAATAGTTTATAATAATTTATAGCAACGAATGAACCGGAAGTCTCGCAAATGTACAAAAAAATAGCTATTTCGCGTTGAAAAAAAAGTGGATAGGCTATTGCAATATCATATTTAAATAGGCCTATGTAAAATAATAGCTGTGCAATGTTTAAACGCATTTTCTAGTCACTTTAATAATGTGTAGGAGTGTGCAGAAGCATGTTTTCTGCTGTAAATGAATTAGGCTAAGTCATTGGAAGATAAGCCTCATCTAATCCTGAGTGCTATTGTTGTATTTGACGTGTGATTGCACCGGTTGGATGCGCGTCTCTTCGCCCACAGATAGCCTACTAATGCACGTCTCGTTCTTTTCCCCCCTCATGTTTTCTGCTCAATTAGTGGCTAGTGAAGCGCTTTTTCTCATGTGTCAGCACAAACACCTGCATCCGGAGACGTCCCCCATCAATACTGCTTTATTCCGCAAACCTTCACTTATGCGCTCAGCAAACGGCGCGCGGATGACAGCGAAATGATACGGTACCGGCGCACAGCAGGTAGCGGCACATAAAGAGAGCAAATTACCAACAGCTGCTTAAGCTTTGTTTAGCTGCCTGCTTTTGTGTTTTCAAGCACTTGGCACTTAAAGTCAAAGACAAACCAGTGGCTGTGTCACAATAGTTGCCGCGCATTTTTTAGCAACATAGACACCAATTGAGCTGCTTAATAGCCTACGCAGCATCTTTGACCATGAGTCTCAAATCCAAACTAGATGCCTACTTAGACATCATAACCAAATGAGCTTCCTGAAATGGTTACCTAAGGTGTTGTTAGCATTCAAATCTTCAGTTGATTGTTCATTCGTGCAAACTTCACTTTCTGATATAGCCTCCTGAGACCCTGCATCCTCATATGAGGACATTATATTTTAGTGAATTTCTCTGAGACTCTATACATGCCACAGTTGTAAGTCTGGATGTCCTGTACAGAGCACATTCAGGGCTTTTCAGAGATACTAAATGTTTGGACGTTTCACCATGACCACCCCCTCTCCTTGGTCTTCAAAAATGTCTGATATTAATTTAGTGACACTCGTTTTCAAAAAGCATGCACGAAAATGTCATTCAATGCCGACATATAAAACGAAATGTATTCAAAGATAAAAAATTAAGAAAGTATGATGCAAAAGCCTAATAATATAAAAAATAAAATTAAATAAAAAAGCAGAGTGCATTAAAAGTGAGTCAATGGCTCCCCCTAGAGGTCATTATTCAGAATGGCTATTTTCTCAGCGCCAAAGAAATATGGGCGATATATCATTGGGAAGAATATTATCATTACTGCATTAATTTTAAATAGAATATAAATATAGCCTAACGGCGTTATTTTTGCATTTAATTTTGCACTTTTTTTTTTAAATCGCACTTTTTTTATTTGTCTGTATTTTATTTTTTTACTTAAACTGATGCTTAAACTTAAAATGAAAGTATCACATACCATGCAATGAATTTTTCGTTGGTTAAACGAGTTTGAAAGATTCGTATCTTTTGTTAGGATGGATTATTTTTGTGCTTTATTGACAAAACACATAAATAATAGCACACAAATAGCATAAAGCTCATATAAATAAAACAGACCGGATGTGCATTAACACGCGTTGTTTCTGTCATATAAACAGTTTTTTTCAGCAGGTGAAGCACTTTACATACGCACCTGTCCGTGACGTGGATCACATGACTGTGACGTCATCGACACCCAACTTTCATTTCAAGTGTTTTATGGGAATGAAAACTCCTGCGTGCTGAAAAATGGGATGTTGTTTCTCCTCTCCCGATGGAGAGGTTGAGGTAGGAGGCTATTTTATGGTTATTTGATTTTACAGGTGGATTACAATTAAAATATGAATTTGTTTAGCTATGAAATCTCATAAGTAAGTAGGACTCAGCAGGAATCATAAGTAGGACAGTTTATCAGGTGGATCTATAGCAGACAAAAGCATCGGCGTTCTTCCTTTCCACTGCTTTTAGGCTTGGAAAACGCAGAAAATTCAGTATATTAAGTAATTTAGTAGGTTTGTTGTTTTCAGTAAGTTTTCATGCCTCAGTAGTTCAGGACACAAGCCTTTCTCTCACTGGAAAGCAGGTCATGTGTAGCTTGACAAGAAAGAAAAGTAAACATTAAGCGAACGAGAAGTATGTGGAATTCTGTCTGGGTGATTTAGTGATTATTCCTGTTTAGTCATTTGTGCGTGTGTGATGTGTTATATTCGGTGCAGCAGAAGTTTATTCACTTAAAATGGTCTTTCTCTTCTTTTAGTTGTGAATTTGTTCTTTAAGTATTATTTTGGTTTCCATCACTTACTGATGGTTTCCATAACTGTGGAACACACACTATTTATTCACTCATACACTTATTTATCTAACACACATACTCAGTCTACATTTCAATTTGCACATAATATACCTGTACATACAATTGTCGATTTGTATATTTTTATTCCTTATTTACTTGTTCTATTTTTAATTTTTAATTTATTTTTTATTATCTGTGTTTTTTGTTCTGTCGCTGTCATTCTGTTACACTGTGGAAGCTTCTGTCATGAAAACAAAT